ATAAACATCATTGTAAAACCATTAGCTGTTCGTCCCGTTCGGAATTTAAAATTAATCCTTTTAATCGGAACGAGATTTCTGGTAGAAAAGTTGCGGAACAGACACGAAAAACAAAAGAAAAAAAATATATATAAAATAAAATAAGCACACGTTATGTATTATGATAAAACCAATACATTGTTCGTGGCGACCAGAATCTAAAAAAAAAAAAAAAAAAAAGACGAAATATAATATTGTTACGTCCTCTTATTTTCGATATTATCGAATATGAACCATAACGGGTATTAATAACTGTCTCGTTAAGAGTTTTATGTCCCGACAAGCCGCAGTCGTTTGGCGATTTTTGATTTATACTCAACCGCAGCCCGTTGACATAAACTACACTCACTGTACACCGTTCGGTCACGGTCCGTTAGTGCGCACCCCTAATATATATATACGTATGTGTATAGATTTACGGACTTTGTGATTCAATAAAATTTACGGTGCAGTTATAACTGTATAGTTTATATTTCTGTATTGTTATCGCCTAAACGATATTTCAAATCGAATAAAATAATATTGAATTATCGTTTAAAAAAGAAAAACAACAATAATAATCTATTACTCACGGAATTCTCGGCGCGTAGTGGCGGAGATTTGATAATTTTTTTGATAATCTGTTTATTACTCCAATTTCACCGGGAATTGTACGAGAGTGACCGGTCACCGTGCGCAATGCCCAGAATCAAGTGGGCAAATTTATACCGAATAAAATTCTAAACGTAATAATCGCCGTATCGTGAGTCGTGATATCACGAATACATATTTAATTCAGGAACAAATGTCTAATTTTTATTATTGACAATTTTATTCAATTTCTTAATGTACGTGTGTAATAATAAATAAAAAATAACACGATACTGTGTGCTTACCTAAAACCTAACATTACGTTTTATTAATAATTAAATAATTCAACGGCTAATAGTTTTTGAAACTATCGATACCTAATATTTGAGGCGTCTATTGCAAGTTTTTATGTTTAATAAAGTACCTAGTATGATGTTTTGTTTTATTTTTAATTGTGATTCTTATGGACCTGTTAAACTTTTCCTCCTTCCAGCGCGAATTGTACACGTTACGAGCGTCTCAAGTCGGAAATAATTAAAAACGTAAAATATGATCACGCGTAGATGGAAAAGAAAGGTTAAACAAAATGTAATACGTGCAAAAACTGTAGTGGACTGTGCGTCTTTCCTGGTTTCCGGCATTGGCCAGAGAATTTCACGAGAAACATACTATTTTTTTATCCCGGAGTTCACACCCTTTGGAGGGGGGAGGGGGGAGGGGTTGAATTTGTTTAAGATTTCCGGTTCCCATTAAAAAAAACCTCAAAAATTGCCGAATGTGACAACCTATTATAATAGTACAACAATATACATAGCAGTGTATTTGTGTTTTTGAATTATAATCCTAAAATATTACGTAAAACGTGTCTGGTCGGTTGAGTACGAATTTTACGAATTAAAATTCGCGTCTAATCTTCACTTTTTAACCGTGTCCAAAACAACAGAAAGTTTGAACTATGAAGACATTTGAAACGAAAACCGGTCGTAAACGTACGAACACCGTAATAACTCGAGGTTTTTCTTATCGTTTATTTACCTATAAATGTTTTTATGTTTCGAGTTTTGAAATTTTCCGAAAAGACAAACAATTCTCTTCCCGGGAAATACGTATTTTACTTTTCCTCCTCGAAAATCCAGTAAGCCCGGTTTTTTTTTTTTACGGAAACTGTGTTCCGTTTTATTTTTATGTGCGCGGTGAAATGCGGATGTAATGTCTTCGCAACACGCGGGAACTCTCAGTACGCGGTCGTATATTTAGGGCGCGGCGCCGTGGTGGGGATTCGGTGGGCGGCGGCGGTGGTTGCAGCGGGTGGCGGCGCGAAAGGGGACCGGGGAAATTATCGAATCGCAAAGGTTTCAAAATTCAAGAATTTAATCCCCGACGATATTATTATGTGGCCGCCGCCGCGGAACCGTTATACCGCGAAATGCTACCCATATTATACAATATAATGGAATTACAGACCGCGCCGCCGCCGTCTGCAACGGCCCGGATTTAAATTAGATAAAAGGCTTAATTTTAAAAGACTCGCGCGCGGCGTACGGCCAATCAGCCGTTCCATTTATAATAATATCGGCTCGGGATTTCGTTTCGTTTCGTTTTTTTTTTTTCTCGCGCGCGTTCTCCCTCGGTCGCTCTCTCTCTCTCTCTCTGGGGCGGCGGGGCGCGCGCGCGCCTACGTCGCGTTATTATCGTCGTCGTAGCCGTCGTCGCCGTCGCCGTTATTATTATTATTATTATTATTATTATTACACGCGGTCCGTGCCGTCGCCGGCCGTTCGGCTACACAATAACAATAATAATTACGCGGACCGATCCGTTTTCGTACCGCAGCCGACGGCCGCGTCCGGCAGTCCGTCGCCCGAAACCCCGGAGTCGCGGCGAACACAGCGAGAGGGCGCGCGGCCGTCACCGCGGAAAAAAAAGTAATAATAATAATAATAATAATAACGCGAACCGATGCGCAGAAGGGTTTGTTCCGCGTTCGCCGCACAATGCGGCGTACACCGTGCAGCGGTAGCAATCATAATAATAATAACAACGCGCGCGCGCGTATATTGCGGTTTCCCGGTCGGGACGATGTTAAACTAGCGGAAAATCGCGCGCGGCCGCCCGTGTCGCGCGAACGGCCCGCGGCCGACCGGAGACCCTTTTCCATTAGCATGTAAATAAAAACGTTGATTGACAACATTGTTGTGACGCGCGCGCGATCGTCTCGCACCGCACCGCCGCCGCCGACAACGCGTAACGCAGCTGACGCGAGGTTATCGCGGGGCTCTGCGGGATGCGTAGCTGTCGTTTATTATTATTATTTCCCCCCCCCCCACCTCGAATCGACTTATCGTAAGACGCGCGTATCGTAATAACGACCGGAGCCGGGGCTCGGAAGTGCGGCGCAGTGAGCCGGGCGGGGGAAAAAAAAAAAAAAAAGGCCCGGCGAAAATTGCCGTAATATTCCGTTAAACTTCACGCCTGGTACTGTTCGGTACCTGTGCGGGTCGGATTTTTACGGCGGAACCGGCTGGAAATCGTTTCTGTACAGCGACGGAGAGTTATTCAAAAAGTTTTCCCGGGTTGATGGGGACGGGCGCCGCCGTCGTCGTTGCAGGCGGGAACGGTAGGGAACGTAGGATACGGACGGTTGTAACGAAATGCACGTCGAACCTGTACGGTAATTAGCTTCGCGTACCGGACGGCCGAGGGAATGTTACGTCCTCGTGCGCCGCGGCGTTCTAACGCGATAATCTACTCCGGATACTCATTTACACGTTTCACATACCAGTTTTCACTGCCGATAACTTTTGTTGCATTCGTATTGTTTTCTGTTTTTTTTATGAATAGTATTAATTAAAATAGAATTGTAAATAATAGTAGATGATGATCAATCGACGGAAATGACAGGTATAAACTCAACGACTTTATGCGTCCTACTTTTTTATAACCGTGGCATACCCGTCCACAGTATCGGTTGTTTTTGTACGTTTGTAAACACCGGATCTAAAATGCCCCATAAAAGACATCTTGTCATTTTTCGATTGAAGCAAGTTTTCTGGCAGAAAATTCGTAAATAGAAAACAAAACATTTAGTAATACCAATAGATTTGTCGCTACGCTCAGAATAAACCACATCGCAGTATAATAATTGTATACTTCGGAATTGTATGTTATTAGTGATTTGGTTGATCCTATTGCGGAAGATATCTCCTACTAGTTTGTTGGACGACTCTGGTATATACGTATAGCAGTTTACTCAATTGTTCTACACTCGAGGTGGATTGCTGATTTGATGTTCCAAAAATTTCAACGAATACAAAACGCAAACCACATACTAGTCTCAGTCTAATCCAGGACTGCTTAAGGTATCGCTTCCTCTTAAGTGTTATAAACCTTTCCATTCACCTTGAATCACTTTGATATATTTTATTATTGTGAGGATATATTATATACCCTACCTAGTTGTGGCTAAGTTAACTGAGAAATCGGTAAAAAGATTTCTCATTAATTAAGAAAACCAGAACGACAGTCAATAAATCCAAAAATGATCACTTTTAAATAAATAAAAAAATACCCAGTGAGAACCGTGTAAACTTTAATCTCACAATGTTTTGTATTTTTTTATCGGATTCGAATAAACCGCCGTATGATTTCGTTTTGGTATTCGTAGTAACAGAAAAAGTTGTTTACAAATATTAAATCTATTGAATAATTTATTTTGTTAATAATAACAACATTAATAGTAATAAAAAGTAATTGAACGCAAGAATCATGGTTCATCTCAAACGTGCGACAAAAGTACTAATGACAATGGTAATGTTTTTATTTGATGATTTTTTTTTTTTTTTTTACGTTTAAATAAATATATAAAAAGAAAAATGATTTGTTTTATCGAATTTTCCTCGAATATAGAAACCATTGCACTATAGTGTGTCTTTTAATACTTTTATAAAACAGTGGAACGTCAATAATTCGAATCGGTCGGGGGCTAAACACAAATTCGAGTAATAGAAAATATTTTTATATAATGTATCTATACCTATTTTATTTCGATCAGTTAGATTAGGTGTTTTTAATTTATATTGTAATTTTAAATGACTTTAAAGTATTTTTCCGATGTTAAAATTAAAAACAAAATTCTGATGTTACTCATTTAACTTTTAGAGCAATATAGGGGGTTAAATTGGTGTCAGCTTATACGACTTCATAATAATCGAAAATAAAATTAAAATGCATTCAAAACCGCTCACGGACTTCCGAATTAACGAAGATTGATGCCCGCGCTTAAAACCCTCCGAAAATAATCACTGGTTATGATAAAAGAATTACCTTGTAAAATTATAATTTATTTATATATACCTAATACATGAAAATAATAACTAATAATTTACAAGATTATGAATTTTATTCGACAGGGTAAAATAAACAAGCGAAAAAAATCTCCTTGCGGTTTTCAAAGAGGTAAAATACTTAATAAAACTTAATAATAATACTAAATATATCTATTATAAATCTTAATCTATAAGTCTTAATTGATGACCATCGCACAATCTTCCAAACGCCTGGGTCTAGAAACTTAACATTTCGCACAGAGGCCCCATTTAATACTAAAATTTGGGGCAAGCACCAAGGAAATGTTTTTGAAATTCAACCCCCAAAGGGAGGTTGACACTTGATTTTCAGTTCTGTATTTCGAAATTTTAATTTTTTCATTTCCTAGTTAACTCGGGAACTCCTCAGGTGAATGAAAATTATTACTAGGTATTATTATTATTATTTATGATAAAATTTGTACCCATTAATAATCTTAATATGTCAAGATGATCCATAAAATTAATGTGTTATCTAGATAAGTAAAGAAATTGTATAATAGTGAAATATAATTTTTTATAAGCTATTTCCTATTAGTAAATGTTCTATTCTTATTATTCAAATAAAATTTAAAAAAAATTATCCTCTGATAATGGGGACAGGTTCAGCGATCGTTATAGGTAATTTAATGTATACCTGTAAGCAACGATAGTTCATGAAAAAATCCATACGGAGTTTTAGCGGAGTTTAGTTGATAGTGATGCTTTGTCAACAATATATATGTTATTATATTTCGGTAAAATAATTAAATATGCATTATATATTTTCATTAAAAATATGTATTTAATGTACCGATTTTCACATTTTTCCTACAGTTTTTTTTTTATGAATTTCTCGGTTGTTCACATTTGCTGGGAAAACACTTGGGAATTTCATTTCATTTTGATTTCATTTTGATAACAAATTAATACAGTTAAAATTATTGTCATCAGGAAAACGGTATATCTGAGATTATTTCGATGATCCCGTGGGTTATTCTCATTAGCGTGTTGTATCCTAACCTAACCTACTTACAATACTAATTAGACATTAATTTTACATTTTTTTTAATATTATTATTATTATTATTTTTTTTTTTTTTAGAACCATTAATCCCGAAATCTGATAATATCGTAAATTTTCAGAATAGAGCAATAGCGAAGTATGCTAGTTAATTTTCATATATCATATGTTATATATTTCAATCAAATATTGAATAAACGTTGTATGGTTTTGTACTTGTGTTTTAGATTAAATAAAAAAATCAAAACGAAAAACGATGACTTTGATTTTTTTAAAAAAAAACATGAAACTTTAGTGGACGAACACAAAATATTAGAAACGAAATTCGGGGAATTGGAAATACAAATAATAGAATTGGAGAAAAATGTACAACGTCTAAAATTTGATTTATTGGATGAGAAACTTCAAGTTACAAAAGAAAAAGTAAACTATAATTAATAAAATATTCAAACATTATTATTAAAAAAAAAATTATTCTTGTTATATTACAAAATATAAACTTCGCCACAGGACCACAGATACAATCTTCTATATATCGTGTAAAAACGTCGAATCTCTAGATTGTTTATTTTCTGTTGAAATTTGTTCACGTAAAACTCGTTTTTAGTCTCTGTGTGTACACATGTGGCATCCTAATCAGTGTATACTAAATAGATATAGCTACAGATAGTGTTGCAAAACAAGTCAAATTTGTCAAGTTAGGCAAAACTAAGATTCAGAAATATTGACACTATACTATAAGAACATTAATAATATTATTAAAATAAGATATTTATTATTTTTCATAATAGGCAATAAATACATCCCAAACTAGACAAATACATAAATTACAAAACACTGAAGCAGGGCTTCGAGAAGTAATTAGGGATATGTATACAGAGCTGGAAACTACAAAAAAAGGTATGTTATTTGATCGTTTATAATAATAATTAATTACCTATCTGTATTAAAATAATAGAATTATATATTTTTATTTATTTTTTTTTTATTATTTTAGGTACTTTGTTAAGAAGGCTAGATGATAATTCGGCCAAAAGAAAATCCGAAACACTAAAAAGAGCAAATGAAAAACTGAAAACAAAATTCAATGCAGAAGCCGAACATATAAAACACATTAATAGTACACAAATTCTGACAGAGCGAAAACTAGACAGAGCCTTATTAAACTATCAAAATGTAAAATTTTACTATTTTAATATAAATGGTTAGGAATGCGGTAGCAAGTACTTTTTTAAAACGGTATCACAACAAGCATTTAGTGGGACAGTTACACAGGTCAAATTTATTGATTTAACTTTCAAACTACACACAACAAAATAACCTTCGATTAGCCACGGTCGCTTTGTAACTACATACCCTATAATACAATGCTACAATAAAACACAACGTTCATAATAATAAAAAGTTTAACATATTTGCTTTCAATACATCAACTAAGTTTTTTATCCCACATCATAAAATACCTTCTCAACTTCCCATTATCAACATTGATCAACCAAACGCTATAGCTTCGAACATTTAAAATGGAACTTTCAATTGATACTCATTGCGCTAAATATAATTTAAGAATTTACACATTCATTCTTCACGCGATTTATTACATTTTCACCGACTGATATTTTCAGCTGCAGAACTCGTATATTTTGTGTAAATTAGAGAAGGCCACCGAAGAAAAGAAAAATCAAGAATTGATAAAAGCGCTAAAACAAAAAGACATCGAAGCGGATATTATAAAAAAAGAGCACTTGAAAATTTTAGAAGACGTCAAAATGCAATTGAAGAAAGTTATCATAGATAATACGCATTTAAAGTATACATTAGTATTATTATTAAATTAATATAAATAGCGAAACAACTAAATGGTAATAATTTTTAAGATCAAGAGAGGTAATATATGAACAGAATAGAAAAAAATTGGCAATAATGGAATCGTGTAGAATTAAATGTCAAAGTGATATGACCAAAGTAGAGAACGAATTTAATAGCCTGAGGAATAGGATGCCTGCATTCAAAGTTCTCAACTATCCGTAAGACACACATTATCTTTGTAATACCTTAAATGATATAGCATTGTTACTATATTTAATTATTTAAATGAATTCAATATATATATATATATATACACATATTAATATAAAACTAATAACAATAATGTGAAATAGACGACCATAACGTTGTCGCTAATCACATATTTGTGTTTACCACAGTATTTAACCATAAGTTTAAAATTAAACAAACATATTTTATATAGTTTCCATTATTTAAATTATCTTATTATGTATATATACGTATATTATGATACAATTTAAATACCTACTCATTTTTTAAAATATTAGAAATTTTCTTATTTCTTATTGGTTTCTCCTTTTAATTCCTATCTCATCTATTTTTAATTATAATAATTAGTCTGTAGGTCTTCTCCATGCCTCACAGCTATTTTCTTATCGAATCTATGTGCATTAATAATTTCTCTCAAACTTCTTCGATTACGTTTTTCTCCCACTCTCTTTCGTTGGGGTTTGTGTAGTCTCTAGAAAATACTTAATTTATAACACTCCCCTTTATTTAAATACGAATTCCTAAATTATTTCTATGTGTACTCTTTTTTTCTGATTTTCTAGTTGTTTTTGTACCGACCTAACCTAGTCTTAACTCTTGAAGTGCCCAGATAGTTTTCTTCGAAATTTTGATACAAATCTGAAAATGATACCGTTGTAATTTTCTCAATAAACATTAGATGTATCATTAATATATATTAATCATTAATTAATGATAAGATATTATCGAAAACGCATAGGTGCGTCATGGGCCTGTAGATTGTGTTTTGCTATGACGCATCGGTAATGTTTCATCAGTTACCCAATGTTGTAATAAAATGGCAATACGCTAGAAAAATATCTTTGCATTAAAAAGTTTTACTATCATTATATCACCTTATTGCATGCGCAATACCATTTTTAATTATTAGAGATTTAAGTGCATTCTTTACTGACTTATTTGTTGCTTAGCAATAAAAAAAAAAACCTGATGCTAAGTTGATACATAACACTAAGCAATTGATTTTTGAGTGTGTTTAGTTTTCTCTAATTATTTTAAAATTGAATTGCTTAAGATTAACACTATTTATTAATTTTTTTTGCAGCGAACATCTGGCATTTATTTTCGAAAATATTGACGACAAATATCTCAAACCTCTGAAAAAAGTTAACCGATTATCGAAAAAAAACAAAAAAACTGTGAAAAATCCAATATAATTTTTATATATATATTATTTTTTTATTTTTTTCAACCTATATTAGGTTGGTTTACAACGTTTTTAACTTTGCTCTCCACGTATCACGATCTTCAGCAAGTCGTTTTAATCCGGCGTAAGTATCAAACCCTACGTCATTTTTCAGTTGAGATATATACGAGTTTCTTGGTCTTCCTGGTGGTTTCCGTCCTTCAATTGCACCTTCTATTATAGTATGATGCAATTCATCGTCATGACGTAAAACGTGTCCCATCATGTCCCTAAGACTGGCATTAATACCACTTCTTAGTAGCGGTGCACCATAAGANTGTATCCAAAAGAAATTTACCATTCTTGTCTTTAATATTATTATTGCGAGTTTTATTTGTTTTGAGGAAACTTTTAATGGTTCCATAGGCTTGATCTAGCCTACTTGTTCTAAAAAGATGGTTTATTTCAGCACATTGTTGCTCTAGCCATTCTTCTTTTGCTTTTTTTGATTCTCTGTTTATACGGTTTCTTATACTTCGGTATTTTAGTTGTCCTTCTATGTCAGTCTGGTGTTTGTATTTTCGTCTTTCCTCAATTAGGTCTAAGATATTTGGGGTGATCCATTCCTGACTAGGTATTTTTCTTTTTACACTTAGTGTGGTTCTTGAGGCGTTTATTACAGCGCTTTTTATATTTTCCCATATTTTGTCTATTGGTTCTTTTCGCTCATCCTTATTGTTGTATATTTTTTCCATGTTTTTCTTTAGATATTCAACTACTTCCACGTTTTTCAGCTCTTCGAGATTATAGTTTGTTTGTTTTCTTTCAACTTTAACGATTTTTTTAGTTTTACACAAAATATAATTATATATAATATATAATTTTAACCGAAAATATATCAATGGGCAAAATATTTATCGATAATGACCGAATATTTACAGACAGTTGCCTGAGAAATTACCGAAAATTTGCTGAACAATTTTCCTTCATACTCAATTTCTGTTCAATATAAATTACGATAAGAATATCATCGAGCATATTTAATAGATATATCTAAATCTTTTAACGTCTAATTGTGGGAGAGAATCAGAGTACTTCTATTGTACCTTTACCTGTTTTAAGGGACCAAATACGGTAGTCAGGTAAACAGGTGGTTTAATCATTTTGTCAACTAGTTTGAGTAATCGGTAAAGTCTGCTACAGCCGAATAGGCTTGCCCGTAGATTTGAATCGACCGAATTTTTAGTGATTGGAATAATTTCCGAGTCGGTCCTGAAAAAGATTTAAATTTCTTTGATCAATTGTCAAACAATTGACATGTGCAACAAAAATAAGCGTTTAAATTTGTACGTTTGTTATTTGTAATTTGCTTTTTTGTACGTAATAATATTATTGTAAGATCCGAATATTTAATATACGATTTTTTTTTCATCTACGAATTTCTCGGATTACTTTTTTTCCATTGATCAATATTTTTTTTTTTTTTTTATAAAGCACTTGTAATCCCTAAACTAAAATATTATCATATTTATACAAAATTTGTTGAACTAGTAACTATTGTGGTCACTGTATGTATTATTGTTATTATTATTAAGAAACTGAAAAAAAAAAAAATGTTTTTCGTTAGCTTTGTTTTCTTTGGATTCGTTTACAAAAACGTTCTTGTATACGAACCTGTTTAAAATACAAAAATTGCTTGTTAGGTATTCATAAAATCAAGAGACCGGAACCGCTCCAATTTTTCATAACCGAAGAAAAAAAAATAGTTTTTGTTATTGCCGTGTCATTTAATTGCAAGAAACAATAACTCAAACGTCCTCCTAATGAACCTAACCCTCGAATAAAAAAAACTGTCGTTATATAGATAGATAGATCTGTATATTTCATATTTTTATTTTTTTTTTTATTTTTATTATTTATGCAAAAACCGTATAACAATTCGTTTCGTCGATTTCCGACCCCTCCGGGCGTTCGTTTGATTGGTCTTGACAACCGAGAAAAACTAAAAAAGATATTTCTTTTCTTTTTTTCCTTATATATATATATATTTTCCTCCCACTATACTCTTTTGCTTTTGCCGTCTAACTCTCTTTCTTTATCATCGTATATATATATATATGCCAAAATGTAGTTGGGGTGAAAGGAACGATGATGATGGTCGTGCCTCTCGAATGTGAATTATAACCTCATTTGCATACGGGACCCTTACCCGCCGCCGCCCCGTGAGTGTATCTCGTCCGAGACACTCCGTCATAAATCACATTTAGACCTTGCACTGTTACGTGAAAATATATAATAAACTACACCACTATAAGATATGATATAAACCCGGGTGGTTATTGGACAAATATTAAGTCCCTTGTACATAAAAATCGATCGCACGGCAAACACTATGATGCAAAAATTACCGTGAAAATATTTCCCATTGTCAGTTTTTTTAGAAACTGTACCTTTCAAATGTATTCAGTGTATGTTTTTGAATGCTTGTGTAAATTGTATTCGAAATGTTTACTCGAATAATTTCTATTAAAAGTATTTGGATATAAATGTACAAAATACTTGTTAAAAATATTAAAAAACTATTTTTAATTTTCTATACATTCGATATGACTTGAAAGATTTCAACATTCACCAATAATTACAAATAAACACTTATTTTATAGATATTTAATTTAACTATTTTAAAACATTTAAAATGTTGCATAACATTATCGTATTATTTAATTACCTATACTAACAAATTAACTTTTTAGGTTGACATTATATAGTTAGATAGATCGCATTATTACAGTGAGTTATCGAGTTATAACAACAAATTGTTGAAGAAGTTTGATTACTATTTACTTTTCCTATTAACTCTTAGAACCATTATAAAATATTATTTTAGATACGCAATTAAAGTCGTAATATACGAAGATGTTTTAGTATTATAACGGTAAAACGAACAAAAGTATTTTATACAGTCCGAAATAAAATAAGGACTAAAAACATGTTTATAAAGTAGTTATTCAAAATACATCAGTCAAAGAGTATTGTTCAAGTATTCGAATACTTAAAACCCAACAACAAGAAAAGTACAAGGAAAATTTAAAAAATGACTTACCCGGTACATCAATTAGACAAAGTATTCTAACAGAGGCCCCTTGATTAAACTCCTAATTTTGACGATTGAAGCCAGATTTTGGAACGGAAAGTTATTGTCCAAAGACGAGGAAAAAAAAACACGTGTTTTAGTAAAACCAACACATTCTTCGCTTTGCTCACAGTCGACATAATTACACAATGGTAAACTCGATAGAACTTAATTTCTTTCAATTCTTTAATAAAATATAAATAATATAATATAATGGCTATAAGAATATATTATCGCGTCGTTATTTAAAATAAAAATAAATGTATTCAAACACTCGTAAAAATATAATATATATAGATAGATAGATAGGTACGTAATAAAAATAAGTTGTTTTGAATAAAATTATAATCTTCTTTTACAATATATATTATTGGCGGACGCGGACCGATTGTAAAACATGAGACTTTGCTCGGTTAATTGATAGTTTTTTTAAAAAAAAAAAAAAAAAACTTGTCCAGGATTTTATTTTTTCGTTATAATGTTATAATTTCTATGATAATTATTATATTAGTTATAAATTCGAAAATCATGCAAGAATAATAAAAATAAAAGGTTTTATTTTTTTAATTTTTGTTTCTGAATGTCATGAGAAATACATTGATTCTATAATAATGTGTGATTTAACTTGTTTCACTCGGCAGTGAATAACTTTTCGACCAAAAATCTTGATCCGATCATCAACTTCAGATCTGGTTTCTAGTAATAAATTTGATCTAATGATTAATCCACTAGAAACCGTATTTTTTTTTTTATTTTTCTTCTGGGTTTTGGTAAAAACCAACAAAAAGCACGCTATTTACACAACAGTTTCTGTTGTTGTCAAATTTAGCTTTTTTCTGTAATCTAGTTAAAAGTAATTGTATAGTACTTGAAATTTATACCGAATATTTATATTAGCTATTTCTAGACGTAGTAAAATTTTGAAAATGTTTTGGTAATTTCTAAGCTATGCATTGTCATTTGAAATTTTTCAGTTGTTTAGTTTTTGAAAAAACTCATAAAAATAATACAAAGAATATAGTGTACATTTTTTATGAAATAAATACAAAATATGTATACACCACAAACTATTAAAAACTTAATAAACACTAATTATGGAATGAATATTGAAGTTATAGTATAAAATATGATATTATCAAATTAAAAATATCTTCGATCGTCACGTAGTATCATCTTGTACTTGGAAAGCTCCTCTTTTTACATCTGCGTATAAAATAGTTGGATATTTATCGAACTCGAACATGTAAAATTTTAAAATCGTATTGATACAAAATCAGAAATTAATTTGGCATACGACATATACTAGGGGAATATCAGGTTTTCCAATAAAAAAATACTCATAAAACGTGTAATTTTTTTGTAAGCATTCCGGTTTGTACAATTTTCGATTTCCAGCACTGTGGAGAATTTTCAAGGTTTCAGAGATGTTACGTTCCCAACCCTAGTTATATTACGTATTCGCGATTTCACGATTTTTTTAACTTATAATTTGTTTCTCCTGTATCAAATGTATTTACTTTTAAAGTCGTGCATTTAAAGGTGGTGGGAGACGGTTAATAGAATATTCGAATCAGACGCTAATAATAATATGTATTCTGTTCAAGTTGAATCGCGTACCGCGAAGGCTTTCTGGTGTGTACACGAATACCGAAAAAAAACCGTCATTTTAACGTGCAGAGTCCATCCGGCTGATGTTAATTTCTATTCCGTGTTACCGTTCGAGTGAAACACGCACTACGTTATTATAATATTTTACTCCGTTTATTTGCCAATGTATATTTAGTCGGTTTCGGTATTATATTGTTGTTATTCGTTCTCGCTCCGACGTTTCAGACCCTCAGTGGGGGATTGGGGGGTGGAGGGGGGGTTTGGTTGACGTAGTATCGGTGTGTGTGTATATAGCGTTGATATAGAGTGATTTCGCCGGAAATAGCAGCCGGTCACGAAGGAGATCGCAGTAAATAAAATGTTTATACATATATAACCGATATCGGAAATCTCGTTCTGTCGATGATAGCGAACGGACGCAGAGGGGTTAAGCGAGAGAAGTATAGTTTGTTTTTCAAATATATATATATAGGTATATTGCATAACGCCGAATCCGTAGAGTTCGTGCGCACACCGTATTCCGCGACGCGCATTTGCATAGAATTAGCATACTAGTTGATCCCTTATTGCTCGTCCCCCTCACCTCTCCCCCCCACCCGGCCACCCACCATCCAGCGCCCCTTCGACAACAACTTTCGGCACCAGATATCTTTCGATTCCTGCGTATATACGATTCCCTCGGTCCGCCCGCCGCCGCCGCGCCATTATCGTTATATTTATCCCCCTCGATCCCCCTTACATCCCCTATCCACCCCCCCCCGGTTAAGCTTCTGTCCCGGGTCTCTATAAATATATATATATACACGCGCGCACGTTAATACCCACGGCCGCGGCGACGTTTGCATTTAAGTCCCGCCGATTGGGCGCGCGCGGTAAAAAGAGCCTTTACCGTATATATATTATATTATTATTATAAAGGTACACGCGTGTACCTCAATAATATCGTATGGCCACCTATATTACACTCGTATGCGTACACGACCCGTTAAAGTTATTTAATCGCGGATTTAATTC